GAGGAGAAGTCACTGTCACTACAACAAAAATGAGTAGTTTAGACACTTTTTTGTGTCTCAATAAGTGGTGTAATAGGACACATTTGATTCACATTGCGTGGGACACTACTAAATAGTGTCTCCTATAATCGAGTCACAATAAGTCATAAAACATTTGAAAGTGTATTATTAGATTGTCACTTATTATGACACTTTAAAGTGACCCATTAAGTAGGGTAATAGTTCACAAGCAACCCCACATAGTACACTTATGATAGTGTTTCATAATATGTATACACTTTTTCTTTTTTAATAAGACACTTTTTAGCAAATGTCCTAATAGATATATAATGAGACACATTTTAGAAAAAGTGTTCCACTATAAAGGTATTAATAGCCATTTTTGTTGTAGTGCGTCAAAAGCTAATTACTTTTTTTGCTGCTTCTTCCTTGTTGTTTTTCCTTTTTTATTGAAGGAATGAGAGGTCGATTGATGTTACTGGAGAAGAAGAAGAATGTATCACATCATTTTGATAAAAGAAAGGTTGAAATAGTCTTTTAAGCTATTATTAGGAAATTTTAGTTGTACTTATCCAATTTATAAAATATAATAAAAATTGGTTATCCCCTTAGTAATAATATTGATCTTTGCTGTACCTTTTTAAAAATTTTCTCTAAATTTTATTTCTTAATGATTTATATCTTAGTCTCCTTCGTGCCGTGAAGGAAAACGGTGGAAAACCCTTTCCTCCCGGATCTTTTCTTAGAGAGGTGAATTTCTCATTGGTTTTTCTTTCTATTCTTCTTTTTTTTTTTATAACAGTTTTGAAAAGTAATTTTTTTTCATCGCAAAATATGATTTATTTTTACAAATGAAATTCTTATTTTGAAAAAAGAAAAAAGTGAATAACTTTTTACTGCGCAGTGTTTTTCGCCTCTTTTTGGATTACATTGGTTGATAATCACGTGACGGAAGGATACTGTGAGTCTGAGGGATATAGAACGGGGTGGAAAGAATGTGTAAAAAGAGAACAAAAAGCTCAAGATAAGATTCGTAAATTAAGAGAGGAAATGGCCAAATCCCGAGTTGAGGCTGATCTGAAGTTTTTTCATACTGTGCACGGTATCATAAGTGTATTGTACTAAGACTAATCCGTACCGAGCCAGGTCGGTCTCCTTTCGGATGGAAAGCTCTCCCAACATTGCTCTTTCCATTCGCGAGACTCAAACCCGAAACCTCATTTAAGGGAACCAAACCACCCGAGCCTGATGTAAAGTTGAAAGAGAAATTTGAAGACCAAAAAGACCTTAACCAAAAGTTGAAAGAGGATTTGAAGAGAACTCTAAGCAAGCACAAGTAGGCCATTGGCAACAAAATACAAGCTGCTATGGTCTATCCATGATCATTTAAATTTTAAATCGGACAATCATTTTTTGATAAAGTATTTCAAAGAATTTCATTTTGGGGTGTAGCTAGGCGTTGCTAGTTGAACACTTTCATCATTTCCAATTTTCACTATTTTTTTTTAATAATTAGGTTGATTTTTGTTACCAAAGAAATATTTAGATGCTTAGATCGTACGTACAATCACGTACCGAGATCAATCTCAAAAGCTCAAGAGATGATTAGGACATCATAATTGTAAAAGGAGCTAAATGTTGGATGGTTGCATATATGATCTTAAGATGTAGCAGGATTTGGCTACATCTGGAATTGAAGTTGTAATCAAGATTTTTTGTCTCAGTTTTTGCAATAATTTTCGCCCAAGATTCCTTTTGGCTGTCCTTTGCTATTTTGACCTGATTTCTTGCGGGATCATCCGTCTTGGCTGGGCTTGGTTCAGGCCATGGTGATAGAGGAACCTTAATTTTTTTTTTTTTTTTTGAAAAAGTTTCATTCATAGAGGAACCTTAATTTGTTAACTTGGGATTGGTGCACGCTGGCAAGGTTCGCCAAAATGAAGCAAGAGCATTTTGTCTGTAGGTTGCACTTTGATGTAATATTAATAGTCTAAAATGCGTCGTGATGTATTTTCCCTTCTCCGAAGGCAAACACTCTAAAGTTTTGCTATTTTGCTTTGAACCTTTCGTGGTTCTGAATACACACACACACATATATATATATATATATATATATATATATATATTGCTCTTGTCCAAATTTAGAGTAGATTTCGCGTTCATAGTTAATTTTGATATGATCAGTACACTAAATATTTAGTAAACATTTTGCCGCCCTGGTTGCAAATAAAAAAAAAATGTAATGAACATTTTCACTTGAATTCCATCTCATGCGATGTTAAGATGAAATAACTCATGCAAATAACATTTTATCTAATGGTATACTCCGTTCTTAAATTTTTACGGAAATAATTATACAATTTTAAATTTCACGTTTTAGTAAAATTTTCACTCCTCAGTCCGAAAAAAAAGTCATCTCGAGTTTTAAGATTTCCACAAAAAATAGTACAAAATACTATTCTGATAGCCCCATATTGAAATAAAATAAGATAGGAGGACGACGGCCAAATCAACTATATGAAAACCATTTCAATTGATATGAACAACCAAAAAAAAAAAAAAAAGAACAAAAAAAAACTTGTCTTGACAATACCGTAACAAGTTAAATTGATCGATGGGCTGGATTTGAGTATTTTTAGCCAATTAAGTTTAATTGTACTATTAGATCTACTAGTATTACTCCCGCGTATTATTCCCGCGCTTCGCGCAACGAGTCATTATTCTTTTTTTTCTTCAAAATGACTTCACAATGTTTGATAAATAAATCACACGATCATTTTGGTAGATCTAATTTTGGATCAATTTAAGAATATAGATATAAGTTATACGATGTGGATTTGTGCTTTAAAAATTCAGATTAAAGTCACATTTCAAATTATTTTGAAGGATAAAATTGCAAATATTGAAAAAGAATTTGTTTGCAATTTGGAGTAATCATGCTTTTATCGTTTAGTATCCTAAAGTCTTATTTTAGTTTAGTTTGGGGTCTGCCAAAAAAAAAAAAAAAAAAAGAACAAGTAAAGTGTGTCAGGATTGCATTTTCTGATGGGGAAAGTAATTAAACTAATCCAAGTAAATAAAAAAGGAAAAATTTAGATAAAGGGTGGTGAAGAAAAAAATAATTAATAAAGAGGACAGTACTTTTGGATAATTTATTTTAGGGCATAACAAGTCAATCATACACACACGACTTTAACTATTAAAAAATTCTAATTGCATTTATTTAAATATTGTGAAAGTGTATCCTATTTATTTTTTACGTGTATATTACTAAATAAAAATGCCAAAGTGGTTAAAATAATTGCATATATGTATATTTCATCAACTAAATAAACTCGAAGGCATAAACCTTTTTTATATTATTAAATTTGAAAATTTTCACCCTCATAAAATACAAAATATGTGATTAAACTCTCGCAATTAATTTTCTTTTACTTATTTAAGTATGAGGTTTTGAACAATTTCAAGTCTCAGTTTACGTGAAAGTGGGGTTTTTTTCAAAAAAAAAGCGAAAAAAAGTAAAATCTCCTTTTAAAAATTATGAAATATCAAACCTTATTTTTCAGCTTACAGTAATATATATTTTAATCATGTAGTTTTTAGTTTTTCAATACTAATAATATTTAAAAAATAAAGTATCATTTATATAACTTTGAAAATAAACTTTAATTTATGTACGTCGAAAAAGTAAATGAAATAAAATCTACATTAAATGCTAAGTGATGTTTGTCTAGTTGAATGATTATGCCCTTAATACAAATTATTCAAAAGTGCTACCCTCTTTATTAATTAGTTACTCTCCATTTCCCCTCATCCAAATTTTTCCAATAAAAATAAGTACTTTTAAAGGAGTTACACTTTAAAAGTAAGGATAGTTTCTATCAGAGACGCAATTAGAACATGGAAAATATACGTAATCAAGGTAAATAAAAACATTTCTTATTTAATTTATTGAAATATATCAATTGGTACATGGAAAGAACTTTTACCAAACGATATCATCAATTAGTTTGAATTCAATTATCCCTCTGATTTTGATTCCCTTGATTATCTAACTCTATGTTTGAAAATTATCGTATCACAGCAATGAGTACTTATGTTATTATATATCCCATAATTAAATGACGTCAACCCCTTGAAAATAGCCAGGTGATACTACAAAAATCGTAATCTCCTTTTTTAGATTTAATTAACTCAAGACATATATCTTCAAGGGGTTCACGATTAGACTTCAAAAAAGACATACCATAAAAGAAAAACCCAATTTTTTTTATGTTTAACCCAACTCAAAAACTTATATGTCTTCATCTCATCGTATTGTAACCGCCCCGTTCCAGTTCGAGTCTTTATATCATTGTTCCTTCTACACTTAAAAACTTAAAATACACACATAAACTGAAGCTAAAAATTTTACGAATTAGAAGATGACATATGTACTACACAAAATTTTTAACAAATTAAAAGATGACGCGTGTACTTGAAAATTAACGATAGCTAATTGACTGACATGTGTCTTTTGAAAAAATTCTCTTAATATATAGCGAGGTTAATTTTGGTTGCTATCTTTAATTAATTAATTATTTTCGTTTTAGATTAATAATAAGTAAGTTTTAATCATGTTAGTTTTAGAATAGGAAATAAATTTGATTTCCAATTGTAATAGGAGTCCCCGACTTAGTTGCTGAAATTTCCAATTATTTTCCGAATAGTTTTAGGTTTAAGGCGACGTTGTTCTATATTTATAAATAGGGGTTCTCATCACAAAGATTATATACTTTTCATAACTTCATTTACGAGCAATCCAAATTCTGTTTCTCATCTTCTAGGACAAAGGTTGGGTTTCTGTCTTTCCTGGGCGTTTATAATTTATATATTATAGCAGCGATTGTTCAAAATCATTCAGCTTGTGGACATCTAAGATCATCGTGTTGAAGAGCTCTGATGGCGAGAGTTTTGAGGTGGAGGAAGCGGTTGCACTGGAATCGCAGACGATCAAATACATGATTGAGGACGATTGCGCCGACAACGGCATCCCTCTACCGAACGTCACCAGCAAAATTCTTGCTAAAGTGATTGAGTACTGCAAGCGCCACGTTGATTCTGCCAAGGCCGCCGAGGGTTCTGTCGAGAACACCTGCGACGATGATCTGAAGTCCTTCGATGCCGACTTCGTCCGAGTTGACCAGGGCACTCTCTTCGATCTCATCCTGGCGGCCAACTATTTGAATATCAAAAGCCTTCTTGACCTCATATGCAAGACTGTGGCGGAAATGATAAAGGGGAAGACACCGGAGGAGATCCGCGAGACGTTCAACATTAAGAACGACTTCACCCCGGAGGAAGAAGAGGAGGTTCGTAGGGAGAATGCCTGGGCCTTCGAGTGATTTCGAACTTTGAAATTTTTAATATATTGTTTTAGTTTCTTATTAGATTTTTGTTGGCATAGCTTTAGGGTTCTTCAGACGGGCTATGTTGTTCGAAGCTATTGACGGGCAATGTTTTATCAAAGTTTATCGTGTTTATTTGTCGTCCTTAGCACATTGCTTCGTTTGGTCAATCAATTGTATGTATCTCTAAACAATTTTTTCTTTTTTCCTTTTTTGGGTATATAAAGATTATTAAATTTCAGAATAGCAACACCCAAAATATTATGTTTAAACTAAGACTTAACTCATCATTGCAAACCAGGCCCGGAGCTGCTAACCGCCTTTGGAACAATATTTACATATATTTTCTTCATCGATAGCACATGATCACATTATTCCTTCATCACAAAGTGATGCGAACAATAATCTGGGAGGAGAGATTAGAGGGGGATCAGACTGAGAATTGTCGGTCTGAAGTAACTCAACACAACCCTGGAGTTCTGAAGCTCAACATCTGGTGCAAATGTCACACATCGAGGCGTTTTATACTGATTGATTGATGCACCTAAGCTAACGGGATAGTCCATAAGCTCATCAAATGTTCCAGCCTTCACAATTTTGATTTCTAACCGACCAATCGACTGGTTCTCAACTCGCCCCTGTCGATAAATTCTGTTGAGGGACTCTTCAATGCTGAGGCAACATTCTTCCAAAAACGGTTGGAGGAATTTGGTTTGATCCATTTTGTTTTAGCTCCCAATATAAAACATAGTGTCTTGGATTGCTCGTGATGTCTGCAAAGCTAGTGCACTCCGTTAAACGATCGTCAAACGGGATTAAAGGCCTCGTTGCTTTCGTCGCAACGCTTTGTGGTTCAGCCTCATCAGTCTTGTTGAGATCAATACTCAAGACACATTTTTCCCGCAAACAAAGTTGAGTTGAGGGGCTTTGCTCCTAAAACCGCTTACCCTGAGTACATCTCCCGTTCTATACCATTATAGACATTCAAGAAAACAAGAAGGAACAAAATTGTGAACTTGGGTTAAATAATTTAGAAGTGTTCTATACCCCTTGTAGAGGAATGATACTGTTAAGGATCCAAATTCCAAAACACTATAATGTGCTAACTACTTAAAATGCAAATTCCAAAACACTAAATGATTTATTGTGCTCTTTGCTCCATTCCATGCTTCTTGTGGAGTCTTCTCTTCTAGATACTTTGTTGGACATCATTTTAGTCGGTACATTGTACAATCAACTACTTCAGCCTAGAATTCCATTGGCATCTTCTTGCCCTTTAGCATGCTATGAACCATGTTGAGAATGGTTCTATTTTTCCTTTCTGCAACTCCATTTTGTTGCGGGGACTAAGGAGCTGCAAGAAAACGCCTCTAAATCCCATGTTCTTCACAGAATTTTGTGAATTCACTTGATGTGAATTTTTCACCTCTATCCAACCTTAAGGCTTTGATTTTCAAGCCTTTCTCCTTCTTCACCACAGCCTTAAATGTCTTAAAGGCATCAAAGGCTTGTGATTTCTCCTTAAAAAAATACACCCAAGTCTTTTGAGAAAAAATCATCAATAAATAGGATAAAATTGTTTTTCTTACCATGGGATGGCGGAGAAATAGGGCAACACAAATCTGTATGGATGAGTTCCAAGGGCTCCTTAGCTCTTGATGATGCTTCTTTCGGGAAAGAACTCCTTGAATGCTTCCCAAGTAAGCTTCCTTGATATACTTGATTGGGCTGATTTACAGGAGGCAATCATTTCACCATGCATTTGGCAGATAACATTTTCAAGTCACCAAAATTTAAATTACCATACCTCATGTACCAAATCCATGAATCATCCTTCAAGCATGCTTTTCATGTAACTCTCATGTTGAATGTTCAACAAGGACATTCTATTGGTTGTCATTGGCACAATGGTGATCAATTTTCCTTCTCGATCTTTAACTATGGCACTACGATCTTTCAAATGAATATCGCAGTTTTTGTCCAAAAGTTGTCCCAAACTCAAGATATTACTCTTAACACTTGGAACATAGTAAACTTCTTAGATGTATTGGTGACTTCCATCTTTTGCAATGATTAGTATCTTACCTTTTCCTTCAACTCTTGCTCTAGAATCATCTCCAAATATCACGTAGCCTTTGGCTAGTTCCATATCTATGAACAACCTTTTTTCCCTAGTCATGTGGTTACTCGCAGCGGAGTCAAGATACTACGTTTTCTTCTCTCCTTCGTCCTCGTGTCTCGCCATTAAGAGAGTTAGTTGAATTTTATCTTTAACCTCCATAAGATTGGCTTTCTCTTTTACTTGACTAGAACTTCTACACTCACTTGCGTAATGACCATATCCTTGACAATTAAAGCATTGGATTCGAGATTTACCTGCTATCTGGAACTTCATACCTCTTCCACAACCTCTTGTAGGTTGAGAACCTTGATTGTTGTTTTCTTTGGGGGATTGAACATAGCCACCTTGGTCTCTTCCTTGTCCACATCCTTGAAATCAACCATTGCCTCGTCCAAGGCCTCTGCCCCGTCCAAAGCCTCCATCTCTTTCTTTGAAAGTGATTTTTGTGTAGAGGGCTTGCTCAAGAGATTCTTTGGGGCTCCTCTTCTTTAGTTTCTCTTCATGGGCTACTAAAGTACCCATGAGTTGATCAATGGTCATAGAGTCAAGATCTTTTGACTCCTCTATAGGCACCACAATATAATCAAAGCTTAATGTCAAAGAGCGAAGAATTTTTTCTATCACTCATGTCACTCAAGCTTTCTCCATTCCTCTTCATCTCATTAGACACTTTCAAGACACGAGAACAATAATCTGAAATGGATTCGGACTCCTCCATTTGCAAGGCTTCAAATTCTCCTGTAAGAGTTTGAAGACGTACTTTTTCACCTTCTCAACGCCTCTATTAGCATTCTCTAGAATCTCCCAAGCCTCCTTTGATGTGGAAGCATTTGCCACATTTTCGAACATGGAATCATCTAGACATTGATGGATAAGTGGAAGAGCTTGTTGATCCTTCCTCCTTACTTTGTTGAGTTCCCCCCTTTGGGCAGGAGTTAGAGCGCCTCATCTAGAGGTTTCTCATAATTACCTTTCTCAACAATCTCCTACACGTCATGGGAGCCCAAAAATTGCTTTCATTCGAATGCACCACTTACCATAGTTATCTTTGGTAAGTTGAGGGAACTGGAAAAAAATTATTCCACTTGCCATCTTACTTCAAAGCTGGATCAACACCAGTTCTGATACCAGTTTGTTAGCAAATAAATCATTTGGGTACTAAGGAAGGGACCTTTTAGGTGTGTTACCAGCAAGGCTCGAGACTTTTTGGAGAGATACAAATCCTGGCAGGCGATTCCTCAGATGATCACGGTGGCCGGTGAATTCTATACTTAACTTAGTACTTTCTCTTTTCTTGCAATAATGTCATATTGACTCTCTTTCATATGTCCAGGCACCACAACAATGTGGTTACCTCACTTGGTATGACCTAGAAATGTGTCCCAGGTCCATCGCAATTATTCTCGGCTTGCTTAAGAACTAAACAGCAAGGAATTGCAAATCCGGTGCATGGAAACAAAACTGAAACTGTTTGAAATAGCAACTTTCCTCCTGGCGCTATTGTGCATTGCTAATCTCATCACGATTCTTACTTGATTTAAGGAAAGCCCAGTGCAACTTACCACGACAACTGGGGGAGATTTTTATGTCCATGTGGGAAAAACCAGAAAAAGATATTAACTGCTTCTAGAATGCTCGACCATGAACTATATAAATTAGTACATTTTCCGTATGCTGCTCGGCTCCTATCCATTAGCTAATGGATTGCTTTGATTAGTTCAATTACTACGTGGTATTGTTTATGTCGAATGAAAATATTGTTATGTACAATTCCCACTTAAAGAGATTATCATGTTAATTATTACTAATTGTCCTTTTATACATGGTCAATTTATATAAACTCCGTATTAGTGCACTTTTCAATGGCCATCAATAATCCACATATGTAATGAAATTATTTTTTGGTTTTTTGCAGATATTGTTGGCATACTCATTAAAGCTCTGCCTTCATACCGGCATGGAACGACCGATTCCGATCCACAATTTCATTCATTTGTCATGATGGATCACAAGTTTGTCGTTATCTTTCTATGAATCCATTTCATTATGGCGATGCTCGAAGGTCGTCATAATGAAGCTAACTAGTTCCACCATTGCTCATTATTTAGATTTAGGAGTCTTACACTCACGGTTGAAAATCCTGTTGCAATGGCCTTACGTAGTGCTTTGGAAGACCATCGTTCTATCTGCCCCGTTGTTTTGGCTAGGAAAGTCAAAGCCATGTACTCAAATGGTACCTTTCTACGATTATTCCTATTTATAGATCCTTTGATTTCTACAAAGAGTTATTACAAGTACATTCGAGATGATATATTCTTTAATCCATTGCACATGTCTTGTTGTTCAATCAAATCCCTCCTCTGACATTGTTATCAACCAACCGATTTCGGATACCATTTGGTTACAAAATTGGTATGGTCACTTGACATTGTTTTAAACTCAATTTATAGATGAAAAATTATGAAACACGTTCTTATCAACCAGATTTCATTTCTTCGAAACACTTTTGCGAAGGATTGCCGGCTCATTGCCATTGATCGAAGCCGCAGTTAATCAAGATGACTACATACCACCATATGAGTAGTTTCTGATGGATGGAATGCTTGAACCAGTTGTTTTCATTAACTATCTCTACAACAATCCTGTCATTGAAGTACTTAAAAAATCAATCATCCCTTGTGTGGAATTGGATGGATTACTATTTATGTAACCTACACAAATTCTTTGCAGAATGCTTGGATTATGTCTTCGGTATTCCCCTGTGATTCTAAACTTTGTTACTACCACATGGCATGTGAAAAATGTTATTGCCCCATGGGGTCCAGATTCAACTCACAACATACCTGCACTCACTATGGGTTAGAGCAGGTAACAATTCCACTTTTTGATTTTACAAGTTCAGATGTTTTACAATTCCACGTGTTATTATAGACAAGGAATATGTCGTTGTCCATAGGAAGTCACTACGCCAATTTAACTCGTATAGATGTAAGTTTGATGTCAATCTGGTTGACTGTACTTCCATAATTTGCATTGAAGTTTTGGGGAGATTAGCAAACGAACTACTCCAGGTGACAGCGATTCAGCTAGCTCAGCAAGCTCTCCAAGTGATTTGTATCTTGCCATCTGCTTCATCCTTTTCACTATTTGCTCTATATTATTCTTCCTTACACTATTGTCCTTGCTCCATGGTTTTGATTCTTGTGTAGAGGGCCTTTTGGTTAACGAGGAATCCAAAGATTTTTTCAATTTGAATTTAAATTCAAAGATTTTTTTTCAATTCGTGTTCATCTTTTTGGCCCAGCCGATTTAACTGGAACTAGGAAATGTAGAATTTTGTCTATGTTAGACATAATTAAGCGTCCCGAGGAAACTATTTTCCATCCACCAAATAGTGAACTGACTCTTGGCCATTTGAACGAGGAGTCCACAGTAGTCTGCATGCAAGCTCAATCAAGCCATAACAATCCAGGTAATTGAGACTAATTCTTTCCTATTGCACTTATTTAACATAGTGTCAAATCATGATCAAGGTTATTGCTTATATGTATACTTCTTTGTCTAGAGTATGCTGACTAATTTCGTAATGGTTTTTTGTACCAGATTGTAACCAGAGCTTTGAGATGATTGCGTACTTTATCGAGACCTTAGGCACAAGCTCAGCAAGCTCAGATCCAAATCAGGCTCAATTATCTTCCGGCCTCTCATATGAAAGTCCAATTGATCTAACAACTGATGACCACACCTCATCAATTGCATCGCCATGTTCCAATAAGAAAATGACCTGTAACTTCTGAATTCGTGATTGGAACACATATCCAGATCCCCAGCCCTTTTGTGGAATAAATGGCACGAAACTTTCGTGGCTTGAAAATAATATATTATGCTCCTGCCTACCTCGACATCTTTTGCTCCTGCTCAATAATGTTTGTACCATCAAATGGGTCTATGAATATGCTAGACGCTGGTATTTTGATTTGTGTGTTTTGCAAATTGCTTCTTGCAATGAAATATATTCACATCGATAAACGGAGATTGTATGCACTTATTTAACGTAAGTTGTTTATTATTTTGGCCTGGTTTATAAACGACAGATTATTTCATCGTGCACCAATTATAATGACTGTTCACATGATTAAAATCTTATGTTTTCGTAATATACCTTACACTGCATTCCACGTAACTTAACTCTATACATAAAACTCAGCTAAGTGAATATATTGCAAATCCACAAATCGTATCTTCTCATGTACAATTTATAGATTAATCATTTTATATTACATATCGTTAATCTAAATCTGTCTGGTTCACTTGATATAAACTAATATACGTCCTACCATATTCAGCGACTTTACTATACAAACTTGCCAACTGCAAATAGTTAATTTCCTATACATTTCATATAAAAATGAGGAGCTTTGTTGCATTATTTAATCAAAAAATTTAATTCATAGACTCTAAACTTACAATTCCAAAGGAATAAAAAAATACATGGACAGTAAATTATGGTACTATTATTTTGTTTCCAATAACATATAACAAATACAATTACAGTGCAACTTCTATTGTAGATAAACCCCATTGATCATCCTCATCTTCTCTCTCCGGCAGAAGCACCGCCCTTCCCCAAAACAGACTTGGCTAAAACATTTCCACTGAAAGCTTTGTCTATGTGCACCACATATTTGAAATCGAGGGCAGGTTCAACTCGTTGTAACTTTCAAATCGTTATCATCTGTCGAAGTTAGACAAATTGCTCATTATCTTTAATAATATCATAGAACATATGCTTCCATTCTTCTCTTTTTAGACACACATCCACGACCGATTTGATTTCATGCTGAGGTTCGAAACACTCGAAATATAGAGAGATATTCCTTTCGCATTCAACGCAACAATTCACATCATTACTGTTGCCAGTGTTTTTCCCTTATGGCCAGCGACCCACTTGCTTCATTCTCCATGTTCTGATTCTACCAGAATACAAAATCAAAACACTGATTGGTTGAGGTGTCTCAAAAGTTTTGACCATGTGTATTGAAACCCCACACCTTTATGCATAGGAGAAATCTCACATTATTATTTAGCACGTCTGGAAAAACTCAATCACATGATCCCTGACGTCTAATGTGTACTACTATATGTGCACACTTCACTTACCTCACTCCAAATCCCCATCTTATTATTCTTTCGTACTACACCTTTTTAGTCGTGCTGAATCTAATCTCCATCAGGACCCCACGTTCTTGAAAACTATTTTATCAATGATTATCTAGAGACCTCAGCTGGTAAATAGTAATCAACCTACTTCAACAACTAACTCTCAATGACTTGTACTTGGTTTTGTTGGGAAAAAACTATTAAATATACTGAATGAATTGAATGCTTGACACCACACAACATCAGAAACAGGAACGTGTTGATGCCTCCACTATTCTTACATGTGGCTGGTGTAGTCCTAAATTTACGGCAACGTCAATTCCACTCGATCTTTGTCCATCTCTCCAAAAAGCCTATAAAATCACTGTCCATTCTACAAAACAAACCATTCCCACTTCATCCCCGTAACAGCATTTTCCTTTTCCCAACAAAATCTCCCCACATTCCATATCACAACGGACATGGATGGTCAGCAGGGCCTTTGCTTGTGTGGTAGAATTCTAAACTTTATTACAACTTGTTTCATTGAACCGTATTATGCACAATATTTTGTTTTTATGCTTGGCGTATTTTCCTTATTTTATGGATTTTTTCCTTAACTAACTATACTGCTTGAGTATAAATGTTGAGTTCACATCTCTAATGTAACTTCCCTAGAATTGGGCAGTATTTTTGGCAATCGTATTGTACAACCGTTGGCAATTGGAATAGAAAAATAACCAACATAATCATAACTGATTTCTCTCCATTTATTCAAGAACGTGTAATATGTGAGAAATGGAATCTAATACATGATAGGACGTAGAAACTATAGAATTTTGACTGAGATGCAAGTTTGTACTACACTAAATATCACTGAATGTTTATAAAATGAATCTATGTAACAAATGTTTATTCCTTTTTTTTTTAAAAAAAAAAAAAGAAAAATGTTTATACTCTATCCCTCATAATAGTGTACTTTAAATCTTTAGCAAAACTGCTCATATCTGAATTATAACCGTGTGAAACAAAAAATGCTTACATTAAATTAAATATTTCAAAATATCATGGCGACATTGTAAATGCGGGAAATTATTGTCTATAATCGTACAACCATACAGAATTTTTAAGGCTATTCAAAGAATTATAGTCAGTTATTTAACGTACATTGCTTATCATTATGGGAAGTTGGTGAAAGAGTAACTAAAGAGACCACACGTTTTGGTTGCTGATAATTCCAAACCAGATGACTGTTGATGCAAATTCAAAGAATTTGGCCCTCTTATTGAGTGACCTAAAATCAAAATAAATTAATTTCCTAAGCACGCATATTACCATATTATGGGTGCAGGAGGTTATTGTTTGAATTTATAAAACCATGAACAATTGTTTAGGCAATCCTCTAAATCAGGAGCAGTTATAATACATAACTTATCATAATGAGAAGTTAATCAAAGAGAAATGGAATATAATACACGTTTCTGTAAGGAATATATCATTAAAATGGGCAGTTAAAAGAGTCGCTAGAATTTATAACGTCATCCCAAAACTACTCGAATGTTATTATAAAACTCCTCTTCCATCAATAACCATGACAAAAGCTTGCTTACAGCATCGAAACAACTAACAATTACATAAAAAGCCAAAACACATAAGTTTGTGATCATTCCATGCCCAAATACATGGCCCCCAACCAAGGTAGTGAAGAAAAAATCGACAACCCTAAGTATATCCATCATGATATTCTTCAGGTTTTATCAAACTGGAATTGGAAAGCATTGGCCAATTCCGCCTAGTAAGCAAAGCTTGGGAAGCAATAATGAAACAACAGGAATTTATTCTTCGAAAGCGAGAAATGTATTACCCTGCAAGTGGGAACAACATCCTTCTGTTCACTCAAACAAGACGATAAGGTCACGAGTTCAATATAGATTAATCATCACCAACATAAAAGTTCAGATGAATAATTCATGGACCCACATACCGTTTCAAGGAGATATGTCACTGGCCAACAACTCCATCCATCAGATCATGGTTGTCACCACAGATTTAGTTTGCCGACTAACTAATTCTCAAATAAAGATTTGCAACCCAAAGACAAGACAACTTGCAACAGTGGCATGCCTACTTCATGTCCCGCTTACAAATTGCAAGACAGCATTTGGGTATGTATCATTATTAAAAACCTATATTTTCATGGCTCTTATACCTAATGGAGAATACATGTGTTGTTGGATTTCTTCCTTTCGGAGTTGTTCACGTACTCACACACGGTCATGGAAAGAGCTTTCCAATATATGTCCTCGTCGTGTATTAGATGGGACCTGGTTTGATAGATTTGTGTATTGGCCTATAGACAGTATGTGCTCTGTAAAAGTAACAACCCAGGAGTTACTGGTCGTGTTTGACACGCACAATGGACAATTCCAATCCATTAGCCTCCCTCCATCTCCAATTTTTATAACCCTAGTCCTATTTATAATTTAAATGTCCAAGTAAAAATATTGGACTTTAATGGGACCATTTGTGTAACAGATGAGTACTATTACTCGTCATCGTCATTTTCAATTATGGGCATGGGATTCGGATACCTCGACATGGGATTGCAGATTCGTTACGCGTGATTTTCCCAAGTCAACACCAACATTCCACCCGAAGGTGCAGCATTACATCAGGATTGGCTATATCCGGTGTTTTTAAGCCATAAATCATCTCCAGTACACCGCTGGATCTAGAAAGCAGTTACATGATTCGGGCATGTTACTTCTAGGAAACATTAACGCATTTTTAGAACTTTTCAAATATTTTTCCTTCATACCTTTTTTGTAGTACGAACTGATCACATTTATTTCCTGCTCACCAGTTTAAGGTCATAGTGCCTATCCAATATTCATCACAACAACTTTCTATATTTATGCACAGATCTTATGATAAGGTTAAAATATTTTCATGATATCTTTAATCGCTGAACTATTTTCGCATCTAGTTTCAACACGATATTCAAGATTATATCAAATTCTATATGTTATTGCTTACGTTAATAGACACAATATATTCGATGAATACTTCAAGAAACACTAAGATAATGGAATGGAAAAAAGGAACATATTCATTCATTGTAGATCATACAGCTTCACTTACATCGGCGCGTGACATTTACCCCTTCAGTAAGTGCCAAGTTTTGCTAAGAACAAGGCCATAGTCAAAATACTCTTGAAAAAGGTGGACACTCGATTTTAAAACATTTGATGTGATTGGTAGGCTAAAGAGTCAGGAATAAATGACGTAGGGGAACAGAACATCTATGCTTTTAGAAAATTGCAGCCCATGTCCACATAAACAAAAAATTGATCCGGCATTTACATCTACCACATTATCTTCCCGAAACTATCTCCCCTGCTAATAAATAGAATAGCCAGCTACTATTAGAATAGTTCTGAAAACCATAGCCTAGATCAACATGGTCAGAACCATACTAAAACCAAGAAGAAGTGTTGTGTTGCTAGAGGGGATGGCATTAGTTCCGCCATAGCTCCAACAACAACCGACCAGAGAAGAGCGGGAAAACCACCGAAACATGATCCGGAATATAGAAAGTTCAGGGTTGGTCTCTAATCACGAAGCAGCGGAATTCTTCCAGCGAAACTGGGAAAGACAGGCAATTGTAGAAAGAGGGATGGTAGGCCACCCAGATCCAAACTCCTAGATAGCAATACATCACTGGGAAGGGTTGTTCACTGTTACAACCAGACCCAATCTCAGCGCTGCGCGAGAATATTACAGCAACATGAGGGGGGTGCCGGGAGATGAAATTATAGTCAGGGGTCGTGTTGTCGACATCAGTACAGAAGCAATCAGAGACATTCTGCAACTCCCACAAGTATATTTAAATTATGCATATGGGGCATACAATGTTGTGGATGCAACTCCGGAAGAAGAATTGCCTGATGTACTATGCTCCAAGTCTGTAGATATGATTTGGACCACAAGCTATGACATCCTTAAACGTTATTGTAATATTTTTATGTGCATAAGAACCTATTGCTCAGTAATCTAATGCATCTAACACAGGAGGCGATGCTGAAACGTTTCTTGGAGGAAGCTGAGAAACTAATGCAAGAGTTTAAAGCCATGCTGTACAAGTCTATGGAAGATCCTCATATGTAACTGACAAATATAATGCTCCTTTGCGCTTAGTGAATCGCACTGATTTAATTGTCGCCATTAAATTCGCCTACACTGGCATAATTCCTCGCCTACACTATTGGATCCATTTTCAAAATATTATTGTGATCTCCATGTGGCTAGGGTAGGATCAATTCATAAAAATACATGTTATAGTCAGTGGATTTAATATTAGAAGATGAAAATTGTTAAATCATGAGTAGGTATCATCATCGAATTGCACAAACAAATTTTGTAGAACAAATCACCACATGAGCAACAATCAAGTATAGCTTCATTGAGTCATGAATAGTTAACAAAACTAATGAAAAGACCTGAAACTAATCAAAGAGAAAAGACCATAAGCAATAAAATAAATTTGCCTCCATGACTGCTGCTCATAAAATTGCACAAACTATCAACTTTGGTTGAGCAGCTTCCCTTTGGGCAATCGCCAGATCCTCCCTCAACCTACGAATCTCTTCAGCTACTGCAGCTTCCGGTCTTTCCAAGTAATCTTTAGCCTCCTTCTTGTCTTTCTCCAAATCAATTTGCAGTTTGTCAATGATCTTCTTATTTCTCTTCATTTCCTCATCACCCTAGAAATACCACATCATTAATCCCTCATTTACCCCAAGAATGCACAAATAAAATAATAATGCATGAAACTCTTTTCACCTCTGCGCCATGAAACTCAAAAAATAATTCATCGGTATATGGCTTTCCTCCATTTCTCGCGACGGTGTCACGGACAAGACTGAGAAGTTGTCGACGTTGTGCAGTTTTCTTGAGTTCATCCTTGGTCTTGTTGTCGAAAATTATTTTTCTCTCTCCGCACTTCCCAAGGAGTTCCTATGTCACATTTTGAGATCAAAATTAGACTAATGTACATCCCATTGTGTCCAAGTTAAGATAAATACATCTTTTATAAAAGTAGTCAATGTTTAAACAAGGTTCATGATTCTGATTTGAAGCATAGACTATATATAGTTCACCACCAAATAGTAGCCAGAGTACTCTATGAGCAGATATATATGCTCTATATACATGAAATAAATTGCTTAAAAACATAAAACAATTAAATTAAACTGAAGTTAAGAAATATGTCAAACGCTGTACGTGCCTTTAAAGGATTTGAGCTAAAAGCCAAGAACTCATCCAAATTCGTTTCATTTTCTTCTAGTTCGTCTCCTCTAGTAAATGTAACAATTATGTAGTCCAAAATTCTTGATCCAAAAACTTGCTTCATTGTCTCTAGGGCAATTATTTGTTCTGTGAATCGGCTTTTCAAGGAGACGACCCATAGGATCGCATGAATTCCATCCTTGGCGGTGTCTATGCATTTCAGAATCTCTTTCTCAATCAACCCAGGCGTACTAGCGGAATCAAATAACCCTATAGAAAATAACCCTATTTTAGAATCTCTCTCCAATAAACTCACATAGTATAATAGATTAGTAATCTTTTAAAACAAAATAAAAAATTATTTCCACCACACTATAAAAATTTCTACATAAATACAATAATTACCCGGAGTGTCAATCACATTGAGAATTTGGCCATCTTGCAAAACAATCGATTGAAGCTCACAAATGTTTGTTATTCCACCAAAAGAAGCTCCTGATTTAAATTCATTTCTTCCGAGGATTGAATTGCCGGTAACACTTTTGCCATTTCCGGTCGAACCAACTAGAACAAGAGTAGTAACCCTAGCTAACTTAGAATTTGAAATCCCAGCCATTTTGCCTAGATTTCTTTTCATAGATTTTTGGCGTTATGCAAAGGCCAACTCAGTATAATAATTTTTAATTAATCTTATTGAGTCGATGAATTTGAAGAGACAAATCATGTAATGGGACTTTACGAAGGAATTTGTGCCGTTATTGTATAAGATGAACAAGATGGTAGATAGGGAAGAACACGAAGCGATAGGAAATTAAAATGTTTGACTGAGATGTCACCTTAGGAGTTATATCGGGTTATGTGTATTATGGAACGAATGGACGCTTGGCGTTCTTGTATACCGATTACCGATTCTAATTTATTTTACTACTTTCAATATTGGGGATTTAAACCATCAAAACTGCATTGTATGCCTAAAAAAAAGAAACAAAAAAAACAAAAAAAAAACCTTTTATTTACACTCTTTGCTTAGATTTTTATCTAACAATTCAGGTTGGTTATAGATAGCACCCATTCAAATAACGTTGATATATTGGTTGGAGCCAATGCTACAATTTTTCAGTTTCTCAAAAAAAAAAAAAATTGATCACACCAATGTAGTTCTACATTGGAAAAAAACTGTTAAACTGAAGAGTTGTTGTTGACCGTTAAGGACTCATCATCATTGCATATGGTCCGGATTTAGAACCTCTCATGTGATTAGAGTAACCTCAAATCTAGCCAAAAGGACATTGCTTCCTTCTGATCTTATCTAGACCAAAAGAACAATTGAGAATAGTAGCTAATCGAACGATCCTTCAACTATTTTTACTCATCAAAACAGAAGAGATTACTTCTTCTTATATATACAATCTGAGGGAAAATAATAATAACCAAACGTCCAAAATCAATGACACCTAAGTTTTAATAACACTGGATTATCCCAAAACAAACATCAAGCATTCTTTTCATAGTGAGTGAGAAAAAAGTTTGAGCCTCAAACACCATTGCCTTGAGATGTGTCTCAAATTGAAAATCACATAATTGGCGGAAAATTTACTTATTTATATCTCAAAACAATTTTGAAGAACAAAATAAATCTCGAGTTTTGACCGTCGTCAAAACTAATTCTTTCGCGCTTCAAACACGCGCAAATAATCAAAATCGCGTTTTGAAAATGCTAAAAATCAATTTTCGCGTTTCAGAAACGCTAAAAATAAGAAATCGTAATTAATATAACTTAATCGTAATTAATTAATGGTAAAAAAATTGATTAAATACAAATTCGCGTTTTTAAAGCGCGAAAAAAATAAAAATGATTATTTTATTTAAATCAAAAAAGGAAATAGTCATAAAAATTTGATTAATTTGCCTAGTTTAAAATTTTCTAGGGAAATTTACTTCAAAAAATTATTAAATTTTAATAATGAAATTAAAGGAAAATTTTAAAATTATAATTGATAATCATTAAATTTTGAATAGAGCTATAAAGAGGAAAATTATATTGATAATTTTAATAATAGGAAAATTAAATTTTCAATAAGAATATAATATTATAGTTGATACTCATTAAATTAAATAGAGCTATATTAAATATAAATGGACTGGATAAGAGTCAAAATTACGTCTTTATGTCAAAATTACGAAATTACCCCTAATAGGTGAGAGTTCAGGACTTGGACTCCAGTATAATGGACTGGATATTTATGTCTTTTCGGTCGTTCGACCGATTTTTGGTAATTAAATCACATTTAAATATATTTCGCGTTTCTGAAACGCGAATCTACTAATTTTTTAAAATGAATAAACACAGTTTTTTTCGTAATTTTTTAATTTTTTAAAATTATCCAACTAATTTCGTAATTTTTAGCGTTTATGAGAATTAAGCCAACTAATATTATCATAAAATGAATAAACAAATAAATAGTTTTGTTACATAAACACAAACCGAATAACAAATCACACAAATTGAATGATCCTTTATCGTTTATCACACAAACATCCAAACTGATACACTAACACAAATACAAATGCAAACAAAATCATCCTCATTGATTTACTAATATAAATTGAAAATGGTTAGTGTTTAAAGTTAATTATACTGGAGTACAAGTCCTGGACTCTTGCATAAACACAAATTCGCGTTTGAGAAACGCGGTTTCTATGTAAGGCAGAATCATTTTGCGTTTTAGAAACGCGAAATATATTTAAACCGGCCAAAATTTCGCGTTTCTAAAACGCGAATAGTGTGACTCACCAGAATTTGGACACGTGGCTATTTTAGCATTCTATTGATAAATGCAAAAATAGAGTTTATCACACAAACATCCAAACCAACACAATAACACAAATATAAACGCAAACAAAATCATTCTCTAAGATTTATTATGAATGTTCAAAACAACACACAAATACAAACACTAAAAGAATCATCACTATGCATCTTAAGGAAAATCATCACTACGCATCATCAGAATCATCAGAATTGATATTAGGCACACCACGAATTCCATATGATCGTAAAGTTTATCAATAGCGGTCCTGTCAGAAGGTGGATGAGAAAATGGGCATTCCACAGCATCATGATCTAAACTTCCACATCGTGCGCAAACTGCCGCATATGGGCAAGCCCTGGCATTATAGCCCTGTAGTTTACATAAACTGCAAGTTTGGAGTCTTTGCTGGCCAGATTTGCTTGTATAATCCATCACACCTTTTTTTGCGATTCACACGCTTCCGACCTCGGCCATGGCAGTAAGGATACCTTGATTTCGGTCAGAGATAATACATGTCTTCTTATCCTGCAGAACAAACTTTTTCAAATACTTCAAGAACCATTTCCAGCTATGTATGGTCTCTTCGTCCTCAAGAGCAAATGCGATGGGAACAATTGTGCCATTTGCGCACTTGACGCATGCCACAATTAGTTTTCCTTTGTAGGATCCTCGCAGGTGAGTGGCATCGATGGTTATTACTGGCCAACAAGCATGAAATAACTGTATAGATGGCCCAAATGCCCAGAAAACATACCTACATACAAACCTTTGCGAGCTTCCTGAATTCTCCTTAAACTTGAACTGCACACAGGTGTCCGGGTTTGACATGAACAATGCATCAAGGAAGCTGGGCAGTTGTTGAAAATTACTTTCCCATGTACCATACAGAGCCTCAAGTGCTTTTCTTCTACCATGCCATGCCTTCTTGTAGCTACATTCAACTTGGTACCTCTTTAAAACTTCTATTTGAATTTGGACAACTGCAAAATCAGGATGTTTTCGCATATTTTGGGCAACCAGTCTAGCAATCATAGAAGACATGACGTTTCGGGACTCGTTTCTCTTGTTTGCCCCAAGACAGTTGTGGGAATCGGACCATACCACCATTTTCAAAGTATCGGTGGCCTTCTGTAGCGAAACTCGTGCCTTCCACAGGCAATCATAGCCGTGACGACGCTTTTTCGGATATTTGGGCCCACAGGTCTCGCATTCAACATACCATGTTCGTTTAGAGCTCGTTTTCACCCGGAAAGTCCGACCATGTAGCAAGTTCCATTCTCCCACTGCCGCCTGTGCCTTAGGCTTGTTGATGAAATGTACATCAAGGTCAACCGTCAACGGATTACCGTCCCACATTTTCATCCCATCAGAATCTACTTCCTCTAAAGTCTTGTCCCATCCACTGATGTCGTCGAAAATATATGGTACTGAAGAAGATGACTCAAAATCAGTGTCATCATCTGAGTCCTCATCCGATGAGACGTACTCATCATCACTACTTTCGACACCCCCACCATCTTCATCTTCATCTTCATCTTCATCTCCATCTTCATCTTCATTGTCTTCAACTGTTCTACCACCACTAGTGCTAGCACCAATATCCTGGCCAGATCTACTTGCATAAACATGGCCTATTCTCTTAACATTTTCAGGGTACAATTCCGGCCATTTATCAGCACAAAGATAAATGAACCGAACAGTATTATCATCATTAATGTGCACACGAGACCTTTTTCCTAACCTCTTTGTCCATACCAAAGAAAAATCAATATACAGCCCTTCTCTATCAACTTCCATCACACCACATACCTTATCAACAAGTTCCAAGAAATCGAACATACGATCAATGATAAGATAACCGTCTGGCGCATCCCGCTGTACCGTGATAGTCCCATCAGGTTCAGTTGTATAAGTAATATTCCAGCATACTTTCAGACGAACTGTCTCCGTGAAAGACATTTACGGCCTGCAAAATCAATTCCTACGAAATCAGAACACTATAATACATTTTGAATTTTAGTTTTGTCGAAACAGTGTTTACCCCATTTCCAGATTTAATAATTTCAAAAGAACAACTATACGCCTGAATTTAAAACTTCATTTCTACACTAAAAATATTTTAGAAACTCACTCTGGGTATTATAAAATTTTTCATAAATCAATATACAATAAATTTCAAGAATCATCTAATTTAAATTAATATTAAATCTAAACCTTGTGCCCGAATTACATAATTTGTTCTTATGTTTATAATTTTATTTTATTTTACAGAAATTGATATACAATTATTTACAAAGCTCATCTAATTTAACATTCTATTAACTAATATTTCTTTCAATTCTCTTTATCAAGCTAATTAAGAATTCACCGTTAATTGAGTAAAGAACAACTATTTATAAACTAATAATAATGCGTAAATTATTCTATTCTCACAATAAAGCAATAAAAAATTACATGTTTTCTATAACGAAAAATACAAACCTGAATGTTGAAACTTTGAGTTTTAAATTGACTTCAGGAGCAACTTCTCAATTTGAAGGAAATGAGAGCTTTCCTGTATTCAGCCAAAGTCCTCCGGAGTGAAACTCAAATTCGGAGCTCAACAGAACGAAATAAGGTAGGTTTGGGAAGAAATAATGTTATTTTGTTATGTGTATTTTAAATTTCACGCGTGCAAAACGCGGATTCTTTCAAATCTTATCAGCAAAATACACGTGGAGCCAAATGAGTGGTTGAGGAGATTTTCTGGATATTTTCGCGTTTTCAAAACGCTAAAACTAACTTTCGCGTTTTCAAAACGTTAAGACTATTTTTTTCGCGTTTTCGAAACGCTAAAATGACACAATATTCAGTTTATTTTCAAAACGCTAAATTGTATAAAATTAATTTAAAAATTTATTTTAAATATATATCTTTTCGCGTTTTTAAAAAGCTAAAGCATTTTTGCATTTTTGAAACGCGAAAAAGAAAATTCACTTTTTCAAAACGCTATTTTTTGTTTACTTTTTTTATTTCCTTTTTTTTTCTTTCTTTTTTCCTGGATCAATTTGTGCAAATAATAATTTAATTTTTTTTAATTCTATTAACAGATTTCGCGTTTCACAAACGCGAATTTTTAATTTAATTTTTTATTTTCGCGTTTTCAAAGCGCGAGAAGTATATAAATGTCCAGTTTTAAAACCCTAGAATTATTTTCTCCTACAACTTTGGGTTTGAGACACTCTAAAGTCAAGCACTCCATAATTGGCCTGGATAGCTTTCAGAAAACCACCGGAAGGCTGAAGCACGTCAAAGTGTTTTCCAAAATCATTAACAAAATAGGACTTGTATTCAGGAATGTTAGTAACTAATACGTTTTTTTAAAAAAATTCTTGTATGTAATTTGGTGTCATCCTGTAAAACCATCAAAAAGAACCACAAAATCCTTACAGATAATAAAGAAATCGTATCAGTCAGTCACTCTCACATCATAATATTAATACCTCATACCTGGTAAAAAACTAACAATGATTACAACATTATACACTTTTGGAAGAGAGTTTTGTCCTCCTTCTCTGCAGCTTCCCTTTGGGCGCGTTCCAATTGTTCCCTTAATCGTTGGATCACACCCTTGGGTTCCTTCTCTAATCTTGCGCATTCCTCTTTCTCCCTTTGGACTCTCTCTAAATGTTGTTTCATCTGCTCCTTAGCCTCCATGTGGGCTCTCTCCAAATCCTCTTTCAACTTCAAAATCTCCTCATTTGACTTCATCTGTTCCTTAACCTCCATTTCGGCCCTCTCCAAATCCACTTTCAGCTTCAAAATCTCCTCATTTGACTCCGCCAATTTCTCTGCAAGTTGTTGTTCAAGTCTTCGAGTTGTCTCCTCGAGTTTTGCATTCACCTGTTAATGCACAAACCAAAAAAAAACAATAAATGAATTCTTGATGAATGGAATGAATTTATATATTTCAACCATTGAAAGAAAATTTACAGTATGTATTAAGAAAGATTATTGAACCATTGCAGTCATTAGCTGCATCAGCTCTTCTGATGCTTTGCGATTCTGCTCCTTCCACTCTTCTATTTCCTGCTTCGAGTCCACTGCCAAGGAATTCACCTCTGCAGCATGATCACGAAGCATCGATACACCTTTCTGTTACAGGTTCAATAGAGTTTCCAAAATTAGTTTGCCAAATTTACTAAAGAAACAAAAGGGTGTAAGTAATTTTTAACAGGAAGGAATTGTGTACATATTTGGGTAGCTAACCTTAAACTCATCAAACAACTCATCAGTGTAGGGTTTCCCTTCATTTTTCACCACAACCTCGTCAACAAGAAAAAGAAGTTCTTGAAGCTGTTCTTCTTTCTTCCTTGCATCTTTTGTCCGGTTATCGAAGACAACTCTTCGGTTTCCACACTTCTCAAGCATTTCCTAAAGCAAGCCAAAGAGATTATCACAAAGTTAAAACAAAAAGTTAGGTCCAACGAGTACTGTATGTAGCAAGGAGGTCTTCAATCCATTTAATGAAATATAAATCTGATGTCCTAATAAATTTCAGACTGTGTTTGATAATCACTAACATCTGAATCCAAAGGGTTTGAAGTCTGAAAGTTTTTAAATTACGATTAATATAATAAAATCGGTAATTCATTCGGCAGTTTAAGAGAACACATACCTTTAAAGCCTCAGGACAGCCACCAGTTAAGCGATCATCAATTGTTTCATCCTCTTCAAGATCATCGCCTCCAGTAAAAACAACAATCATGTACTTACCAATCTTGCTTCCAAAAAAGTTCTGAAGTGTCTCAACAGCAGCTGCTTGTTCTTTAGTGAATCGCGCTTTGAGTGACACGACAATGAGAACCGCATGGATACCATCTTTTGCCATGCGGATGCATCTTGCAATCTCTTTGGCAATCATCTCAGGACTTGACGTGTAATCAAACAGCCCTGCAATATATATCCCAACATGGCCTTAATATCTTCCTTCATTTTGCTGTCAATGGGAAAATAAAAAATTCATGAATGCCGGAGATAAAACATACCAGGTGTGTCAATTACATTCAGAATTTGGCCATCTTCCAAAATAGTTCTCTGCAATTCACAAGTAGTAGTCACACCATCGAAATTTGACATTGATTTAAATGCCTTGGTTCCTAGGATGCTGTTTCCCGTAGCGCTCTTGCCATTTCCAGTGCAACCAACAAGAACAATCGTCCTAGCGCAATTCAAAGGAGAACCAAACTCCCAATCATCCTCAATGCTCTCCATCTTCATAGAACTTAATAACAAGCTAAAAGAGCTTAGTCTTAGATTGACAAATTACTGTTCCAAGTACGATAGTAATCAGCAACAGTCGAAACCAATGATGCAACAACAAATACAAGGGCATTTGGGTAAACAAATTTTACTAAACAGAGTTATTTCCTCTAGCTTGTACAATCTTACTTACAGTTTCAGTTCCAGGGTCGCTAACCAAAAAGTTTCTAATGTGTATATATTTCTTCAATAGAAACACTAATCAAAGGGTAACAATTTTAAATTATGCTTAATCGATGCTTAATCATCTTTGTAATGGTTGAAAAATAAAATTATTGTTAGCGATTACAAACATAATTGTTAACTGTTCCAAACAAAAAAAAAATCCCCAAAATAATAATAATCATAACAATAATAATAATAATAATAACCAAAACAAAAAAAAAAAAACCCATCAAAACAGCACATACGGAGGCAATATTCAAATTCAGAATTCCAAAGGGTGAGGGATATCTAACTCGATTAAAGAAATACATATCTATCCATTAAACTAGTAATTATCAAATTTCAAACAGGGGATCCAAATATAATGAAATCAAACGTTAATAGTAACTCAACGAAAAAATTGCAATTATGTGTCATGGAACCCTAGGTTTTTAAGTAGATTCAACAAATTAAAACGCTAAATCCTAAACCCACTAAACCATGTTTAATCCACCAAATCTTCAAACAACTAACAAAAAGCCTGTAAAAAAAGAATCCCCAGGACCGAGATCCACGTACTTACTCCCTCGTAACAAATAGAACACAAATTTTGTGGAGAGAGGAGTATAATTCACAATTACGAAGTATTTTGAAACTCGTAGATCTGTATGACAATCACATATTATATATACAAAACTTAACACATGAAAAAAAAAAAAAAAATTAAAGAAGCAACGAAAACGTCAGAAAAATTTACCTGATTGATCGAGTTTTCAATCTCAATTTTGCAAGTTCAAAGTTGAGGCAATAATGAATTAATTAAAGAAAAGATTAAAGAGTTGACGATTTGGAGCACTGCATATGTGCGAGTTTATATAGCTCGTAGGATTGTTGATATATATCGTGTTATTAGTACGGGAAATTCTAATTGTATTCAATTTCTAATTAAGAAAACTAAAAAAAAAAAAATTTGTTAACCAATGGACAAATTTTTTCCTCCCTCAGGTAATTTAAAAGACGCATGCAGTACAAGTTTTAAAGAAGTCGGTTTCGTCAAAGAAAATTAGTGCTCAAGATATATGTTTACTTGCAAAATTTTAACTGACTATGATCTTCATATTCTTTTCCACGTTGGTCAAATATTTTATGAAAGAATTCACCGGGTCCTGTCCTCTTTGTGACGTCAAAATATTCGTTTTTGTTTCCTTAACAACTGTTGTAGATATTTAAATCCCGAATTAAACATGGAACAATTTTAAAATCATTGGCTAACTTTTCACCTTTCAAAGAGAAAAATTTATTTGATTTGTTGTCCCACCATCGAAGTGCCTACAATTCACAGAGGGGGATTAGTGACTATTGCCGACCGTGGACACCTTGCAAATACAAAAAAAAAATTATAAATTTAGTCTCAAACTTTGCCAAAACTACTACCTTTATTTTTTTTATCTGTCACATTGGGATGAACTCAAAACTTTTTTTTGATCTGTTACACTTCATTCTAATTTCATCATTAAATACAGTTATTTTAGTTTCACTCTTATCTCTCCCTAATTTCAATTTTTTAATTAGCGGCAAAAAAACAATACACTTGTAAATTAAAGCCTTAATAATTATTTCTTTATTTGTTTTGCAAATCTTAAAACAACAAATAAAAGTTAAATGAAGGTATTAATGATTTGCAGCATTGAATTTCACCATATTTAGATATTTTAATTTCAAAGTTTAAGCACTAATACAAGTACGCAAAGTTGTTTCACATCCAACGTTCATATTCCTAGTCAAGTAAGTAGTAGGATTCTTTATTTTTATGCAAAACAAGGACGTGTCAACGTGCTATTTTAATATGCTTATTAAATTTCATGTGAGAAATTGGGGGTCGAATTTATGGATTCTTGTATACGAAGGTATTAAATGGGGTACATCAAACTCGCATGCCCAGAAAGCCATGTATGATATTCAAAACAACTTCCTAGTTGTATTGCGAATCTTTTAGATAAATCCCTTAAAGAATTAGAAGGCCTAGTCTACTACGATGTGTGATTTGATCGCAGTTCACAGGGTTTAACAAGTAATCAAGATTTCACGATCAGGAGTATTCTACCCCTGATCGTGAAATCAAAATAGGGTAGAATACTCTTTCTAGTAGAATACTCTTTCTAGTAGCGGTCGTTCTATATCGTATTAATAATCAAAATAGGGTCAAAAGCAAAAATATTTATTTGATGGAGTTTCTTCCTATACCTATGAATTCCATTGGAACCAGAAATGTTACATTGGAAGAATCCATTAGGTTTTCCAATATCAACAGGGCGATTGTTTCGCACATCTATCTTCAAAACTGAAAAAAATATCTTTGACCGTAGGGAAAGAGAAGCATTAACAGAAGAAAAGTGGAGCAACGTATATAAGAAGAATAAGAATCAGAAAGACCCAATAAATTCTTCCAATGTAACATTTCTGGGTCCAATGAAATTCATAGGTATAGGAAGAAGCCCTATCAAAAAGAGAGTTTTACGTTTGAACTATTCCAGTGAGTCCTCCTATGGTAAACAAAAACATAAACCCTACAGCAAATAACATGGGTGTTTTGTATTGTATGGAACCCCCTCCACATGGTAACGATCCAACTAAAGATTTTTATTTCAATGGGGACAACTATGATCATGGTAGCTGCGGTGAAGTAGGCATGGGTATCAATGTCTAAGCCCACAATAAACATATGATGAGGGAAGGGTGAAAAGAACCTCCATCGGGGAGTGAAATAGAACATGAAACTGTAAGCAAATGTGCCTCCGCTTGGGCTTCAATGATAAAGGTACATGAACAGCCATTTGATCCCCATCAGAATCCATATTGAATCCCTCACGAACTAATGGATGTAAACAAATGGCACGCTCTTCCACTAAAATGCGTTGAAATGCCTGTTTGCCTAATCTATGCGAAATCGACGATCTATTTAGCAATACAAGATATCCTTGAAAGAAGTTGACCTCCTTGTGTCTCTCATCGCACACTCCTCTTCCCGCAGAGCCCCTGGTACCCAGAGACAAAATGTAGGACGGGTATCAACAGTTTCTCACGGAAGAGGGGCTCAGGAAGCCGGGATCACTAACTAATACTAATCTGATATAATAGAAATAGAAAAGGTTTGTCTTTTCTGTATACATTCTATCCGCTAATCAAGGCTAATAGAGCGAAGGGAGCCAAAACAAAGAAACCTGCTATCTACTTGTATTGGACCACACGAAGTTTTTGAATAAGTGATTGTCTGATAATAAGTAAGGAAGATTCGTCTTTCTGTTAAACAGGTCATAATTCATTAGATACTTTTTATGAATGTCAACTAAGTATCGTAAGTAAATTGCTAGGGGACCACTTACGACCTTTTGAAGAAAGACTATTGGGGTGATTAGCTGGCCTTTGAACACTTCAGGCCTGCTTATATAGTAAGGGGCAGATAATGGATAGAGGCCTAAAGCAAAGTGAAAGCTATGAAAACTATCCTTTATGCCGCTGTCTTTAGAATAAAAACTCGATCAAACATCTAAATTGAAGTTTGAATTTGGCTCAAAATAAAAATAAATAGTTCGTGCTCGGTTCGATTAGCTTAAATTTTAATGTTCGATAAAGATTAAACTCGAATGTTCTATAATATTGACCTCGAATAAATTTTAATGTCTTCCATTTTCAATTCAACACGTTCATTTATGTGTTTTATGAGTAAAATTTCTTGACAAAGCATAAAAATATGTGTATCCAATTATTATATCTTCAAAAATATAAAGGGCAAATATCTATTAAAGAATACAAAGAAAAGTTTCTATGAATTAAATATTATTCAGAATAAAAATAAAATAATTTATAATAACCTCGAATAGGTTTGACGAGCTCTCGAATAGAGCACTTTGATATTCGTGTTCAACTCGTCTATCAAATTGAATTGTTCAAATTCGGTTCGAGTTCGGTCAAAACCGAATTCAAGCCAAGTTTTGGCCAAACTATTCGCAAACTGCTGGTGAAATGCTTGGTTCATTGATAGCCCTACGATACATCCATTGCCTTTCTAGTGCAATACTTTTCTTTCACTATTATTTTTTTTACCGTCTCTATCATTGTTGTTTAATATAATGATTATCACTATTTTTTTATTTTTGGTTGGAAAAAAAGGTTAAGTGTATTTTGTAAATGTAAACAGTAAGTCACATCTAGTCCAGTATTAAAACTGGAAATCTTTTTTTTAATATTTACTTGAAGAATAATACTGTAAATAATACCCAAAAAAAAAAAAAAGTGAATAATACCTAAAACGAAGAGCAGAGAGCGAGACATAACGCAATTCCATTTCCCAAATCAAATCTTCTAACCCCAAAAAGTTGTCTCTGCCGACGATGCCGCCGAGGAAACGGAGATGTGTCGGAACAGAAACGGAGGAGTTGCCGGAGCCAGTTCTGCATCACATCATGTCGTTTTTGGATTTCAGGGAAGTCATTCGCGTATCTATCGTCTCGAAAGCTTGGAAGAAAGCAGCTTCAACCCTACCCTGCTTGAACATAACAGCTCCATTGGCAAATCCTGAGAAAAGCGTGAGTTCACAAAGATCAAAGTTCCTATTAGTGCTATCTCCTGCCATAGAGTTTATTATGCAATCTATTATGCAGAATCTATTCTTACACAAGTTCAACTTTAAGTGTTGTGATGTATTTGCTCCCATGCTGATGATCTTACTCAAATGCTTAGACTGTACAAGATTGA